ACAGCAAAAAAAGTCCCAGTTAGGCTCCAGAGCAGCAAGAGACGTGCAGGTGAAAGCCTGCTGTGCCCCTGTTCCCCCAAAGCACCCCAGACACCCCCCAGCAGCTGCGGAGCCCCCTGCAGACCCCCAGCACAACTGGAGGTAAGCAGGGCCTGTGGTGGGAGGCGGCTGTGTGGAGCTGGGCTGGGTCAAGCCCCGCCCAGGCCCCTACTTAGCCCAGCCCCCCAGGGAGCCACGTGACCAGAGCCGCCTGAACAGGCTGCGCAAACAAGCGCACTTGTCTGCTGGTGCATGAGTTCGCGCGGGAGGGGGCACAGGAGGGCCCGAGACCCTGCTTGCAAACCCCCCGGGTAGAGAGTCCCAGTCATAGCCAGCCTACCAGAGGCATGACACGGATAGGCACGTGCCACACCCCTCGGGTCCTGCACCCCCCGCACCTCAGAGACGGCCACCCAGATGGAGCCCGTGGTTCCGGGCTCCACACAGACAGAGCCTCTGGCTCTCACCTGCGGGGGCTGCCTGTCCCTTTTTCAGGCTCTGGGGCCCGGGAGCATGGCCACTTCCCTTGTGTGGGGTCTGCTCCCTATTGGGGTCTCTGGCGCACCAGCTAGAGGAGCTCCAGGCCACAGTCCAGAGACTGCATGCCATCAGGGACTGTGAGCAGGAGATTGACTCCTACAGCCAGGCCCTTCTCCCCTGGGAGCCGGAGGGTAGACCACGGTCCCCCTCCAAGACAAAGGAGGACTCCGGGACCTCCCACTGGGTCCAGTCAGGTGCATGAACCGAGGTGGTCAAGGGCCCTAAGGCCTGCCGCACCAAGGCCCCTGCCCCGCCAGAGCTTAGCAAGAGGTACACACCTCTTGCTGCTCCAGCAGAGCCTGCTGAGTTGCCAGCTCCCGCAGGCAACACAGGCTCAACTGCAGCTACCACCGCCGCTCTCCCCAAGACAAAACGTAAGGTGTCTGTTGTGAGAGACTCCATCCTGAGGGGGACTGAGGGAGTAATCTGCTGCCCCAACCCCTTAGTCTGGGAAGTCTGCTACTTCCCAGGGGCCCGAATCCGGGACATTGCAGAGAAGATCCCTAAACTCCTCCAGCCCACAGACCACTATCCCATGCTCCTTATTCATGTGGGCACCAATGACACGGCACGGAGCGATCCCAGCCGGGTCATGAGGCGCTACAGGGATTTGGGAGCAGGCCTAAAGGGTCTGGGGGCACAGGTGGTGTTTTCTTCGATCCTCCCAGTCTCGGGGTATGGGCTGAGGAGGGAGAGGAGGATCCACGTAGTCAACCAAAGACTGCAGCGCTGGTGTCATCGGGTAGGCTTTGGCTTCCATGATCACAGCCCGCTCTTTGGCGAGAGAGGCAGCGAGCTGCTGGGAAGAGATGGCCTCAACCTCTCTCCCCTGGGGCGGAGGCTCTTCTCAGCCAGACAGGCTGACCTATTCCACCAAGCTTTAAACTAAGCCCATTGGGGGAAAGGGGGACTACCGCCACTGCTGGCCCGCTGAGCAACCCTTGCAAAGCCAGCAGCCAAAGGCACTTAAGGGAGCCTACCCCTGCCCCAGCCCTGATACAATCTGTGGGCAAGGCACGAGCTCCCAAGGGGACACTTGCCTGCCCATACACAAATGCCAGGAGCTTGGGGAATAAGCAGGAGCTCATCCTCCTGCTTAATGCAAATAATTATGATGTCAAAGGGATAACGGAGAGCTGGTGGGACTCCACCCATGACTGGACCTCGGGTATAGATGGCTATACCCTGTACAGGAGGGATCGTGTAGATAAAAGGGGCGGGGGTCTAGCTCTCTATGTTAAGCTGCATGTCCCTGCAAGCTGATACTGGCGACCACGGTGGATGACTGGAGACCCTCTGGGTTAAAATTCATGGGGAACACGGCACGGGGGACAACGGTGGGAATCTACTACAGACCTCCCACCCAAAGTCCTGAGCTTGACCAGGAGTTCGCCCGAAAACTGGCTGAGGCCACATGCTCCAGGACCATGGCTGTCATGGGTGACTTCAATTACCCGGACATCTCGTGGGAGGATCACTCAGCAAAATCCAAGCAGTCGCAAAGCTTCCTCTCATGCATGGATGACCTTTTCCTGGCTCAAGA